ACTGTAAATCTACACGTTTAGGTAAATCATGGTTGATAATAGCTAAAAGAATAGCCGAACGTGTTCGCACATACAAAACATTCAGATAATGTGTACACACTTCTGTGTCCAGAAGAGAAACATTTTATATGAACACAAGAAAAAAAAACTTAACCACAGTACCTTAAATTCATAGTCTAGATACCAAAGTGAAGAGTTTAAATGAACAACTAATATGAAAGTATTTATAGAAAAAGGAACAAGTAATCACCTTTACGGCAGTGGAAAAGTAACTGAACCCGAAACGTCAGGTCAGGACCAAAAATATTGCATATTCTTTGGCTTTTATCAAAATCTCTAAATGTATATCAGGAACACCAGACTGTATAAGACAGCACTATTCGAGGCATAGAATAGATATATATAATAGATTCTGGAGACAAAAATTGTCTAGTACGACACAGGGAACCTACAGCAGTGTATTCAGTATGGTATTTCCACCTAGCAGTAAATTCAATAAAGTCTTTCCACTTCATGTCAACTGAGAATTCTAGCCCCGAAAAAGGCACAACGAGTCATACTCATGGAGGTTAGCATTAGCCATGCTGATAGAAAGCAGAAAGTATGTAATGTTCGGTGAATGTTTCCTTCGCGTGTCTGTTCCCAAAAGTAGCGTTCCTCGAAATGATGCTGAGTGGAACTTTCCTTCTTATCAATTTGTTATGGCCCACTATCCTCGCACCACAGTTATGGTTCAAGGTTAGAACCAAGGAAGAACAACACGAACACAAGAGTAGAATAACAAAGATATATTGCAACAGAAATATAGTACAAGAAGTTGAAGGTGTTAATAATGACTGTCCGTCTGGTTTAGAGTGAACTAATATTGTCTCGACTCGTTACACCAATCATTCAGTATCTATCACCCCCACGAGGGTTGCATGTGGCACAAGGCCGAGTTTGACGTGGGTTTCTCGAGCCCGTAGGCTCGGTCAAAAATATACTCTTTGAACCCGCCTAGACGGGTTCAGGGCCTGTCTACCTCCCCGGACGGGTTCCACTCTGCCAAAGCATAGAGTTCAACAGTCATGACATGGTGCTCGTTACACTAATCATTCATTATACCTCTTTAGAGGCGCAGTATTTATAGTGTCAGGAAGAGTCTATTATCGTTATAGGTAAGTTCCCATAACACAATGGAATACGAACGAAATGGTTATCTAAACCCGTGAACGGGGCATGTGTATCTTAGCACTTAAGACCTGAACTAGTGGAATAAGTTAAAGTCGATCGACCGAATATTTGTCAGCGATATAACGTAGGGACAGACATGCTATATTTCGTCTGTAGGAAAGATGCTGTAAGGTTGAAAAAAGTGAATTGACCATATCTCGAGAATACTCGACTTTTGGACTGCTATGAGATTTGTATAGATAGAGCATCCCAAGCATGTAGTCAGGTACTTTCTATAGCGACGAAATGAAGTCACGGTATCATTAGTGATGTATCGTATATACGAATACACTTGAGATCTGAGGTGATATTGAGTCCCAATCGGCGTCCATAACAAGTAACCTCTTTGCGAAAACAAGCGTTCATTCTGCCTGGAGAATTCAGGACCTTCTCGTAGATGATGGAATGGTAATAGCTTGTTTTTAAAGGCATTTATGTTAGCAGCCACTTTCCCTGTCAGAGCAAATAAATGGAAAGATCGTCTTCCAGGATTTGATTATCTTGTAGGCGGTGAACCCGTAAAGTGTGGTATCAATTGCATAGATATTATCTAACAATCTGAGAAAGCTATTGGTCATATAAAGCAGAAATATGGTAAGACTGCCTGCCATGTGGGTAATGCCTACATTGATCTCATGAGCTTGATAAGACAATTTTCATGGACCTACCTGGTAAGAATGATGACCCTTTATGAACGTACCCAATATGAATGAACTGTTAATTGCGAAGACGCTAACAGAGATGTCATAACAGTAGAATTTCTTTAGCAAGCCACTATGCCACACAATGCCTAAAGGCCTTTGGGATTCGTTGTCGTGATTAGTTTATTATCGGATGCTCAGATGATTCCTTGTGAAATGACATTTAGGACATCAGCAGTGGACATAAAAGAGTAAAATTCATATTGTTTGCCATCCAGGTTGTTGAGGTGGTGTATACACTTCTTGTTGACGATGACAATAAGTAGACTTTTTGTAGGTAACATCTTTAATCATTGAAAACAAAATATATTTCTATTATGAAATTACCTTAGCTTTATCTGATCATCCTCAAATGAACACTTCTGGTTTTTTCTTTTCAAAAATGTTACCCAGACTTTTACCGAGTTCTTCATTTTTCATTCCTGGATCATCTTTGAGCTGAACAATGATGGTTCTTTCTGATCTACCTTTTGATCATTTGCCACAATTAGGTGCCCATTCGGAAACAGAAAGAGGTGTAAAAACAGAATGTTTTTTCTCACCTGACTTTAATATTTACAGGTAGATGATTCCGAGAGAACACTCTATTGGCATATCAAGACAGAACCAAGAAGGAAAAAAACAACCCATGCTATATAGGATCCTGGTTTCAGTAGCACAAACTTAAAAAAAAAATAATTAAGTGTTATGGGGTCCACCCCTTTTTCATACAAGTGGACTCTACCAGTGTGTACTTGGACTGCTGCCGTTAAATACCCAGAGTCAGTCAGAGTAGAGACAGAGATTGTGATTGAGTTAGAGTGAGAGTAATAGTGTGAGGTAACCGCTTGTAGAAGTCACAGTTACAAGGACGTAGGAAGTCCTACTTCGAGACTGTATATATACGAGGGTCATTCAATAAATAAGGTGAATTTTTCGGTATAAGGACTTCTAACACAGATAGAAGCTTACTTTTTTTTAATTATTTTTCAACGTAGTCTCCCAGCACTGTCACACACTTTTCCCATCTGTGCACAAGCTTCCGTATTCCCTCAGCATAATAATCTTTGGACTGATGTCTCAGCCAGTCGCTCACAACACTTTTGACTTCATCGTCACTTTTAAACTTCGTGCCTCTCGTGAATGCTTTCAAGGGACCGAACAGGTGAATGTCTGAAGGGGCAAGGTCTGGGCTGTAAAGGGTATGAGGGAGCAGTTCCCAACCCAGCTCGTTAATGGTCTGCACCGTTTGGGCTGCTTTGTGAGGCCTTGCGTTGTCATGATGCAAGATGACTCCTTCTGACTGATGACCCCTGCGTTTGTTCTTTATGTCTTTCTTGACCTGCCTCAGCAGTTCACAGTAGTTCTTCTGTCAGACTGAATGAGGTCATTGACTGATTCGATCACCTCAGGAGACCTCACTTCTGTAGGCCTCCCACGCCTGTCTTCATCCTCAACACTGCTCCGTCCTTCTTTAAACAATTTAACCCACTTGTAGACATTTTTTTAGCTGAAACTGCCACAAAGAGAAACTAGCAAGCGCTTTCCAATTTGGGGTGACCGAAACAAGACAAATAGAAAAATTTAAATATCTAGGAAACTTTTTAAGAGAGGACGGAAAAATGCTATATTGAAATCATTAAGCATTAAGATAGCGATAGAAGACTTTTAAAAGGTAAAAAAATAAAAAATAAAAAAATAATAGGAAACTGAAAAATCTCATTAAAAACAAACATAATAGTACTAAATTCTTATGTAATATCGGCCGAAATATGTGGCCGTGATGCTGGACTATCTCAACACAGACGAAAATGAGACTTCACACAATAGAAAAGCGGTTCATTATTTCGCTCACTGGGGTAGACTGTTCTAGTTCCACGTGCCATGTTTAATTGATATCAGTTATCAGTTATCGCCTGTTAATTTCCCTCTAAATGTTCTCCACTGACTTAGCCGAGTATTGAACTCACACTCTTTGGGTCCTGTCACTGGATCTGACCAACGCCTTTATCCACTGCGCCATGTGCCGAAACGTTGTAACAAATATGGCGACAAAGATAAGGACAATAGTCCGAATAATACAAATAATGTACATAGTACCTCATCTCAGAAATATAGACAGATATAGAAATCCAGTTTTACAGAAGGATGCTGAGAATATCATGGACTGAGTACACGGACAATGACGAAATTTCAGAGAAAATGGAAAAAAAATGGAAACAAAATACAAGAAATTGATAGTTGACATTTTTGGCGCATAATGAGGAAAGAAGGCTTAGAAAATTTGACACTCACACGACACAGTGAAGGTAAAGGGAAAAGAATGGAAAGCAGCGCATAACCTACCAAACGAGCTTGAATTGGCAGAACAGGGATTAGGAGAGATAGGGAAAAGACAAATTTTACTAAGAGCTATATAGGACAGGAAATTGTGGAGAGCCATGATCGCCCACGCCCTGAAGGGATATAACAAACAGAAAAATAACAGGTTTCTCAAGCAATGGCCACTGAATCGACCTCACTTTTCATAAATTGTGTCCCTATTTTTTTTATATTCCCTACATGTATAATACTTATAGGGCATCATGGTATCTTAAATGTGGCACAAGGCCGAAAGTATAGGGTGCTAGTCTTATTGGATCTTATATTATTAACATTATTATCAATCTGCTATGAAAGATAAAAAATGAACTGTTCCTTTTATTGAGTTGCATATTAAAACCGTTCTATGATATTTTTTTTTATATTGACGTTCTCAATTTTGATTCTAATATCAATAAGCGAGGGTTTTGATTTGAATTAACTGGTTTCAAAGTATTGATTGTGATTTTAATCAAATAATCCTGTCACCCGTGAAATTAAGAACAATAAATAAATAAAAATAAATTGTCATCAGTTTGAAACGGCATTTCAGTTCGTCAATGGAAGTCAAACAATGCTAAATTCCAGACGCGCTGTTTAATCAAGCAGCTGCAAGAATTTATTCTCTCTTTATATTGAATATTTATTATTAGATGGAGTCTTTTCAGTTACTTCTAATTAGGAATTCACTCATAATGTCCAACCAGACTATCTCACTTCCCATTAGTCCCTCTGGAGGTGTTCAAAATGCCGCTAACCGCCTTTCTTTCTTGGATCATAGCGCTATCAACAGTCTCAGCCAGGAAAAGATTATATGTATCCCCGCGTAGTTTTGTTCTCTGTGCGGTCTGCGTAACTTGGAATTTTCAAATTTATTTTAGAGTGAGTTTTAAACCTAAATTTAAAATTTTGTTGTTTATTCATAAATTCGCTGCAAGCCTGCTAAACAAATGACTTGACTTGAAGTATAGGGTTCCTCGTGCGAACAGAAATTGCTACTCATTTTTAATGGACAAACTGATTTAAAAAAATGCACCTCTTGCAAGGCGATAATGCCACTAAGACGCAAAGGGCTACTGGGAGTGAAAGAGAATTAAAATATGTTATAAGAAACCGGAAACCTAAACAGAGAACAAATGGGAGAAGTATGAACCGGATGAGAGCCGGAAATATCTGCTCTTATTACGCTCGTTAACCGTTACTCATGCCAGGGTACTGTTGTTATGTATTATTAATTTCTGTCGAATATTCATTTTTTTTGAATGTCTGTTGCTTTTTCTCCGTGGGGAAAACAGGCCGGTTACATTCAAAAAACCAAATTAGTTATATTACATCATCGCCGACCGGACCGTGAACTAACTTTAATCACGATGAATGGATGTTCGCACAGGGGGTACCCATGCCTTGGGCCATAATCTCAATTCAGATCACAAGGGGAGCTCGTACATACGATCCATCGTTAAGATGTTGGAAAAATGGCAGGTAACCTGTACTCTTCCAGTAAGTGCCTGACTCTTTGTGCTATACTATACCTTCAGAAGAGCCAAGTCAGAGCTAAAATGGAGTACTGTTGCCATATATGGGCAGGACCTGTCCAGTCTTCACTTGCCAGTGTCGATAGATTATCCTCCTCCTTGAGGGTGGGATATCATTTTCCACCCACCAAATCCTTCTCATAGACGAAATGTCGCTCCTCACTATACTATCGCTATTTCCATGGAAAGTGCTAAGATTAGCTATCAACAGTCCTAACATTCATGGCTAACACCCGACATTCTAGGTATATTTAGCGCAGCATCGTTATTCTCTTCGTATTCCGTTAGTGAAATATGTTTCACACGAGTAGCTTCCGACAAAACACTGTTTTGTGGACTGACACGCAACAGGAATCTTTCTCAATTACTTAGTTTCAGTAGGACAGCTATTTTGCCGTTTGAGCTCCAAAAGCTGATCCTTAGAAGATCTTACACGAGTTTATTTCATATTTCTCCAAATGTTATATTCTATATTTTCCTCGATACATCACTAGTAATACAGGGTGCTCCGAAAAAATAAATTAAAAAAAAAAAACAGGAAATTTTAGATTTGTTTGTTACGTTGATTCTCGTGTGCTGTCTAACGACTTGTTTATTCAGCATACGGGGACCATCTGGCTAAAGATGATTCCTTAGTTAAACGTTCCCGGGTTATGGAGGTGGACCTTGTTAATGTGGATGAAGAGGTCCGGTTGATTGTGGCTAATATTGCTGTGAGCAGTGGTACGTTTCGGGTCGTTGTGTTTTACGCGCCCAACGACAAGGGAGAGGGTGTTGACTTTTCTATCAGTTGAGGCCGTTCATGGTTGATTCGTCTCGTTTAGTATTAATGGGGGAACAGGAATGCCATCCTGGACCCTAAGATAGACAGGAGGCGGGGAGCTAGCGGGAGGTTATTGGGTGATCGTAGCTTGGTTGATCTGATCGGTGAGTTTGGTTTGAACGTAACTTGGTTGATCTGATGGTCGATAGACACCGGTTCGATCATCTGGGGAGGAAGATGTGGACGTGAGCTATTAAGTAGCTGTCTCTTCGGGTATCTAGCTACCTGGATAGAATGATAATTAGAAAGGTCGAGTCTGCGCAAAAAATATCTATAGCAACTCTTCGACGCATGCAATTTCCTATGAAGAAAAATCCCATGAAGCTTTACAGCGTTTAGAAAAGAAAATATACGTCCGGTAAATATATATATATATATATATATATATATATATATATATATATATATATATATACTTCACCAGCACACTTAAAACCTACTTCACCAAGGTCTCTTCTCAGTAAGTGAAATTCAACGACAAAATACCTTTCAACTAAGGCGAGGGACTGAACAGCCATCATCAATAAAAGTTACCAAGCCACACACTTCCAATACACTGCAACGTCAGTCAAGACCTGTTTTGGATGTCAGTTACTTGGAGAAACATAGTACAGCTGAATCAACATGAAACAAAATAACTGAAATTGAAAAGCTGATTGCTAATGGCACTAGCCCGTTAGTTTACATCAGATATGTTTGCATAGCTCGACCTCCTGATAAACTTTCATATTAAAAGGATTTAAGAAAGAGGGGGATGTGGAATAATCCATGGTTACCTCCCTTGTGAAGATATGCTCTCTGCCTTCGCTATGAAAAGGGAATATGAATGAGGAGATGCAATTTTAAATTCTATGTGTTAACGAATTTGGACGTCAAAACAAACAGTGAAAGAATCCTCCAGCAATTTAATACACTCGAATTGCGCCACAACAGGTAGTATATCTGGCCACTCGTATTCGAGGATACCCGTGTACTAGAGCGGCAAGCCAATCCCTCGGCCACGATGACTAGCACATATACCTACCCAATTTCACTCACAAGGCTTGGGTCAACCCGTAGTATAGTTTTCAAGCCCTTTCCAAAGATCGGGATCGACCCCACCCTGTTCGATAACATCATTGTGAGATTCGAACCCGGGTCTCATTGTCAGAATGCAAACGTTCTAACCACTCGGCCACGTGCCCAAGTAACTACGGTGGGTACACGCGATTAAACATTAAATAACTCGTTTAAAGTTATATTTATTAGGTTGGTGCAAAATAATGACGTAATAATGTCGTTTTTGACGTTAAAAAATACGTCAAAAACGACATTATTACGTCATTATTTTTGCACCAACCTAATAAATATCGAACAGAATAAAATGTTTAAAAAAGCAATTCTTTATTAAAGGTTTAAGATTAATTTTACTTAATTTCGTCGCAGTTGCAGTTGATATCTTATAATTAAACCGTAATTAAAATGTAAGCGGGGCACGGTACGTTGCTCAGTTTTTTTTTTCTAGCACGCGTACTGTGAAATATTACAAAGTTCGGGTTCACTAATATCTTTTAAGAGTGACTTTATATGACGGAATCATAAAGAATGGTAATATTAAAAGAAAATAAAAATTGCGCCCAAAATGAATAATGTTTATATACATAAGAGGCTGAAGGTAAAAGGCCGAACGCCCAAAAGTCCTCTACAGGAGCTAACCTAAATTACGCTCGAAGGGCGGCTTCTTGGCTAGTATTTAAATAATTCCATAATTTATGATGGTTAGTATGTTAGTTCTTTCATGCGTGTTTCTGTGATATTAGAATAATTCTTTATTTGTTACAAGCGCATGTATTTAGTCGAACAGCAAAGCGCCGGCACTTTTATCATCAAGAAAGTCACGCAAGCGACTGGGCACATAATTTTGTACCATTTAAATAAGCCAAATAAGCCGCTGACTTTGCACTTCTCTCACATTTCTTGTGTTGCATGCAAGAATTAATATCCTTTGAGCAGACATCTAAAGGTGATTAATTGAAAACCATTTCCTAGGCCTGCGTTCGTTTCAGTAGATAAGCAAGAATACTAATCAAGATGCTTTCCAAAAGAGAAAAATATGGTTAGAAATAATGAAAATATCTATAAATCCAGGTCCTCTATATGACACTGACTTCTGACATATCTCATCAGGGATGAAGAAGAGACTTGAGGCAACAGACACGTGGTCCTACGGAAGAATGCTGAGAATACCATGGACTGAAAATTGAGGATGTCTTAAAGAAAAACGAAATGGAAACAAAAAGGATAATTATACGTAGCATCGGAAAGAGACAGTAAAACGTTATAGGGCGCATAATGAGGAAACTGGGTTCGGAAAATTTAACACTGACAGGACATATTAAAGTCAAGAATAAAAGCAGCGAATAACTTACTTAACGAGCGTGTGAAATATGATTAACAGAACACGGATTAGGAGATATAAAGATGAAGGAAACTGAAGATCAGTGAAGAGACAAATCACTTTAAAGAAAGATTAATGTACCTACTGCAAGCTAATGACTCACAAGCGCATGAAAAGTTTCATTCTTACGGGGTGCACCTAGGCACTTCGACATGGTGAAATAGAAAGCTTTTCTCGCAATATCCTTTACGACTGTATGAGTTAGATCCTCAAAAGCTTGCCCCATACTTTCGGCCTTTTGCCACATTCTAAGCTACGCTTATAAAATCATCATTATTTTGGTGTACACTACTGTCATAACCTTATGCTAAATTATGTTAACTAAATAAGGATATCGAGACCTGGGGTGATACATAGCAATGTAGTTATCTACACCCTTATTCCTGTAGTGAGCTCGGGGCTGGCCTACTTTATATACCTCGGGGTATAAATTAACATACACTGAATCATTTTATACCTATTTTCTTATTAATATCAAAAACTCATTCTTTTATCTCGAATATTTTGATGGATCCAGTTTACAAAGCGATCCTAGTGGCTGGTATGAACTAATTGAACAGTAACCAGGTATCTATCAATTAAAAATAACTTATAAAATATTCCGTGGGAGTGATTGATTTTATTGTTGATTGATTAATTTTCTACGGTTTATCAACCCTTTGAATGTTATTTTGAGTCATAAATTATTTTAGATTTTAAGCTTTTTTTTTTAGATAATAATGATTTAATGATACAAGTCTTATTAATTAACCCATAGGCGGTGGGGAAGAGCTGGAATCATGCATTTCCCAAGAATATTTGAGCATCAGAAAATATAACGAACCGGAATTACACTGACTAAGTAACTTACTCTTGTGTCTCCAGACTTTTTTGACATGTGCCTCCAACTTTCTCTGCTAAACTCAGTCAGCTATCTCTTCTTCCTATATGCCCCCCCCAGTCTCATGACTGCTGCGTTGTAGATAGTATAGACTACACCCGTTTGCAGATATCTCTGTGCTCGGCGACTTCAATGACTACCATATCAAGTGGATTAATCACTCGCTCACTGACCTCC